CTCTGGTATTTATCAAAAGAAAATATCAAGTGACATTTTTACTAAAAAATATTTTACACTCAGGACAAACTATTTTTCAAAATTTTTATGTGATAACTAAAGGTTGTTAGTGATGATAAATATAAAAGTACTGGACTGTAACATTTCTGAAAAATAAAACTAGAAAATAGGCCTTTATCTAAAGCCTGCAACTTCAAGTACCATTATAACAGTGACTTTTCTAACAATTTCACTATAAATCTTACAGCAAAAAACTGATAAGTAGACATTCTAAGTAAAAAAAAAATCGGTTGTTGTTGATTCACTATAAAAATGGTTGTAGTACTGTCAATAAAACTGTACTTCTATACCTATTTGTAGAGAAAACATTTGTTATTATACTAGCCATTCTTACCTTGCATTGTCTGGGTATTACTTGAACAGAGGGCCGATGTTTAGCTATTTTTAAACAGAAAATATCAAAATTTTGCTTTTCATGTAACAATATATTTCAAATGGTCATACTTTTCACAGTTTAGACTACAATTAGAATGATATCTCTATTTTCTCACAAACGAAGGTCTCATATTCTCTGAAGTTTCTTGCAAACGGCATTCTACATGGCAGATGCGGTCACTGTCTCTGCTCTTGCTCGGTCTTGGCTTGACGATGACAGCTTGTCTTTTTCGTTGGCTGTCATGGTGTGTTTCCCTTTCTTGTGGAGTCTCACTCTGTTGCTTTTGCTGCTCATGTTTGGCAATCAGAATTGTTTTTCTTTTTCTCAACATTTTACTCTGAGGTACATAATTAGCATCAGAAATGTTTATCATACCTAACTCTCCTCTCAAAATATAGTGAATAAAAAACAATTTATTTTTGCAGAATTTTGTGAGTTCAACTTGTTTATTCTATAAAAAAAGTTAGTGTTGTTTGTCAGTAGACACGACAGTGTTTGATGGATTTTTTATTCTGATGCTACAATGGCAGCACACCTCTATAAAATACACATACATTTTTCTGATGTCATTTCCACTTAAATCAGACCTGGTTTCCTATTTAATTGTGAAATATTTCATTTCTCACCTCTCTCATTCTAAGACTAACTCTAGAAAATCCTTCTTTTCTTTTCTGTTATTTGGCCTAAAAAATTCATTTAGCTTTTTTTTTAATGATGGCACTCTTTAACACGAGATCTTCCACAAAAATGCTACAAGATGCAAGATCTTTCAATGTACTGCTACTAGTTACAGTAATCAAACATTGATTTCATAAAAAAAAGTTTAGTTAACCCGTGATTAGGAGGAACAAAATGTGGTTACTTACATTAGTTATTGCTTAATTTAGTTGGAATCCATACTTATCAATATCTCACATTCTAACTAAAACAGAACTCTTGCCTACTACATCTACTATTACATTATTTAACTGGTGATCTAATTGGTTTGTAATGGAGAAAACACTTCACATAAGTTGTGTAAGTGTTGTGGAACACTTAGAGACATTTACTGTACAGTCTCGTAACTCTAAAGCAGTCTCAAGCACTGTGAGCATTATTAACTCATAGGCATCATTTGGGATTGCAAAATACCTATGCAGGAAATGGGTGAGATGTCAAGAGATGAGAAGTTTGATTTCCATCCATCCATTCAGTGGAGGGGGAGGGTGACAAACGTTGATGTAAAAAATACACCCTGGAAGTTTAAGTAAGATATCAGTTTCAGGCTCACCTTAAAATTAGAGATGAGTAATGAGGAGTAGAATATTTTTATGAACAAAATGTTTCTGGAATGTAAGTTTAAATAATTTTCCTATAAAGAGAAAGTTGGGGAAATTTGGTATTACAGTCATAGTACTGTGGAATATACAACTCCCACCTTTGCAGCAATTTGTGAAATGTGATGTTAATATTATTCAGACCAGAAAGATAACTACAAACTGAAATAAACCGTATGGTTCTGGAAGCGATCTTTTACCATCAGACTCCACAACTTATAAAGAGAGGATTATCTTTGGCTGTTATTGGATTTTAGATTATCCTGGAGTAAAAATACTCCATTGTTCTCATATATTACAAGCAACTTTAACGAATTTTAATAAAACTAAATTCTTTACGTGAAAATATTTTCTATTATGTTAGATGGATCAGATATGAAATCCATGCCTGTAACTGAATATGACATAGTTTAAACCACAATTCTGAAAACATTTCTTTTAAGTATTCAACTGTTAAAGAATTATAAATGAACATACGTAATCTTCTTTCGTGAATGTTTCTAGTTCATATAGCAGTTGAAAGGCTGGTTTATCAGGAACAAGGAGATGGTTAAAATTGTATAAGGATCAACCATGTTGTTTACTACATTACAGTCAATATATAACATCTAAGCCTGTTAGTTTTCACTAGACATTTTCTAAAGGACCATTAATTCATCCTGGGTTTTGTGTTGATTACTGTAAATATGTATGATATGACCATATTGTTTTGAGTATATCTGTAATTTTCAGAGATAAACAGTAAGAAGTTTTCTCTGTTAAGAAACTTGGAAGTTTTGTTTACAAGGTTTGTTTTAAAATTTACCAAAGTACAGAAATACATTGTAATTGTTATGGTGTTCTATAAAATTGAAACTTATGTATTATGTGTATATAAATATAACATGCATATTAAAATGTTTCCTATCACTTGTACATTATCTCGTGTGAATTTTATATTCATTAAATTACAGCTTTATGATTAGTGCTAATTGAGTTAATTGCCCAGTTGTAAAATAGATATTTTAATTTGACATATTTACAGCTGTCAAATAATTTCAGTTACTTTATTTTAGCAAAAAACAAATAAACTTAATTGTCTCTAACATTTCAGAGAGTGACCAACCACACATTTTTAAGCATCCTTAACACTGTTGAGAATGACCAACCATTGTTGTTAAGCAACCTTAACACTTAAATACGATGCAACATATTATACTTTGTCTAATTTATATGTACTGTTTAAATTTTATATAATTTAACACAAAGATTCTTCAACAAAGTTTACAACTTTCTTAATTCTTTGAATTATTTTAAATAAGCTTTATTGAACTTCATCTGAGATCAGACCCCTTACAACTGAAAGAAGATCTTAACTTTTACTACACTGATCTAACTGTTAATCAAGGTTTCAAAGAAGAGCTACCAAATGATTCCTAGTTGGAAGAGGGGATGTGAGTAATGTTTATAAACTGCAATTATAAATTTAGGTGATGTTTTCATAAAACAAATTTGTAGATAGATTGCAGCAGACAAGCTTAAAATATCGAAACCTCAGACACGCCTCTAGCTAAGACAGTGTTATTTAGAGTAGGTGACCCATAGAATGGTTTTGTCGTCAGATGTGGTAAAAGTTGCAACATTGAAGGAACTTAAGAGAATATTTGATGAGTATTTTAGTGATCATATTTGGATAAAAGAGAATTTTTTTTTATTTAGTTTAGAATAAAATGGTACTAAAAAATAGGATGGCTTAGATGGGCCAGATGTTCCTGTTGTTATACTTTGGAAGCGAAATCAAATATCTTTAAAACTGATCTTACTGTTCCTTACACCATAATTAATTCTATGTTGACTCTTCTTTAGTTTTCATTACTTTTTTTTTTCACAGCATTATTGGCTGTTCGAAGAGATAAAGTAACATATGTTCTACTAAGTAAGAAAGGTAACATAACTGTGTATTTTAATTGTAATATGCACATAAAAATCATTGCTCAATATCTATGTTTAAAGAAAACAGATTGCAAGATTGTATGTGTGTGGTGTTCACAGAATTTAAGAGAAAGAAACAAAGACAATTTTACGTTTCACAAAAACTTCATTTATTCACTACCGTGGTTTCACCAGTAAAGGCATCATCAGGTACCCTTGTTTTTTTCTTCAATTCAATAATTATAGAGTATCGATGGTTTCAAGTATCAATTATATATATATATATATATATGTGTTAAATTAACTTATGTTACTATATGGTGAAGTAAAATGGACTCAAAACACCATAGAAATTGTAAGATCATTTTCCTGATTATGCCCATAATGTTATCTAAGTACTTTGTAAAATTAGAAACATATGGTTTATATTTTAAAACATAAAAATGAGGTTGTATTCTTTAAAATATTTAATGATGTAGATGAAAATACTCATTTTATATTCCTTAGTTAGTATGATCTTCATAGGGGTTAACAAAGAGGAATTTATAAGAAATCAATGTTAGTATGTTTCTATTCACTCCACAAGGTTTGTCCACAAAGAAGTCACAGGACATACTCTGGTCAGTTCTTATCAGTATTCAGAAACATAGACACAGAACATATGCTGGTCAGATCATGGTTGTTCATGTCATTATTCAGAAACAAATACACAGAACATATAATAGTCAGTTTGTTGGTTGTTCATGTCAGTATTTAGAAACAAAGATTCAAACATAACCTGGTTAGTTTGTTTTTTTCTGTCAGAAATGTGCCTTTAAAATGTTTTTGATGAAAGTAACTATTTTTGTAGTGATAAATTTTTAAGGCTTTACTCGTTATTCATTTAAAATACAAATGTTTAGCCAAAAGAACACAGTTACATTTCTGTATGCAAGAATTTTGATGATCATTTATTTTCTGTGAACCTCTTTGTTTGAAATTACCCTGACTGTTTGATATTATTTGGTAACATAAGTTATTTTGCTAGTTCATTTAGGTCAATATAATCAATGTATGTTTGCGTTTTTTGGTGTATCTTAAGTTACTGTTATAATACCAGATATAGTCAAATTGCTTAAATGAGTATTAGTGATGTTTTAGATATTTTAATTTTTGCATTATGACACAACTGGTTTTGTACGTGTGTGTGTGTGTACTTTCATAGGGCATTCTTCAAGCAATTTCAACCCACTTTTTGAAGAAAACTGTTTTGTATTGGGTATCAAGGAGAATGAATGTCCAGTGTGCATGAAGACATTTTTCAATAAATCCAACATGAAAAGACACATGGAAATGCACAAGCCTGCTCGTCACTCATACCAGTGTTCCATTTGCCTCAGGTCCTTCTCCTGGAAAGGAAATTTAAAAACCCACAAGCAGACAGTTCATGCAGACATAGAGCTACTTGAAATGCAGCTCAAAGAGAAATGCCAAAAAAGATGATATAGATTGTTTTCTGTACGTGTTATTGATGTCTCTGTGTCAGATATAATATTTGTAATATTATTCAGCTGTAAGAGAGTTTGCATGTCCACTATTAATTGAAACTTTAAAATGTTCTTGCAAATTTTAAACCAATTGGTTGAATAAGTTCAAAATGTTATAAGGCCCATTCAAACATACATTTGAGGTCCATGTCAATTTCTTTGAGTTTACCTAACTTTGACAGTCCTTTTTTTTAAATTTCAGCACACATATCTTATGTGTTTGAAATTTTCCTCATCGCAACGTATGTATTTCGTTTTATGTGTCTTTGAGTACTCAATGATGAAACCACATAATTAGTATTTTTATGATCATTAATAACAGATATTTGAGTTATGAAGTTATTTAAATCAAACAAAGATATGTTATATGTGACATAAGAAAACACATAGTCCATGGAAGAAGTAGGCTTTATTCTGTATTATGTACCAATATTCCTCTTCTCTGTTATAATATGAAAACTAATTATTTTTGTTAGTTTTTATATTTCTATTTTTTGTTACGTATTTAGCTTCAGGTTTACAAATTAACAGTTTTATGAAATATTTGTATATCGTTATTAAAATGTTGATAGATATTTAATGAAACCAACTCTATATGTTAACAGATTCATCTTTAAAATATGTGTAGAATGTTATGGCCTGTTAATTATTCAAGAGGTAGTGAGTTTTTGTGTGAAACTATGTTAGTGTTTTCTGATCATGGATGAAGGCCATAGACTATTAAGTGTGGTTTTTTGTGTCATACTTGGTTACTCTAAGGTTGTTGTTTTTTTACATATTTTATGAGACTTATTCTTGTTAAATTTCTGTATGATTTGTCTGACTGTTAGTCCTACTTTTGAGTTATTTCAAGCTTTTTGCACGACATTAATCTTGATCTTAGAAACTTACTTAAATTAGGTTTGAAAATGGACTACTTTGGTTATATTGGCCATATCTTGTTAAACCTTCAGCTCCAAAATGATTAAGTATGTTTTGTCTAGGAGCAGGAAAGTTTTTATAAAGAATTTTGTCATGTTACAAAGAGAAAATTAGCAGTCTGAGTTAGCATTAACTTTTCAAATAAGGTCTTAACAACAATATTTTGTTTTTGGTTTTCATTACTGAGTTTATGCTGTTTAAGAGAGTAAAGTCAAACACAATTGTTACTTGGTGATATAAGCTATACAGTCTGAATGAAAGAACTTGTGTAATTGTCATCAGTTTCAGGTTAAACAAAAGGTTTAATAAATGCTTTCCATTACAAATAGATGAGTCAAATACATACTTGTACATGAAATTCATAGTTATTTTTAACATGAAATATAGTGACTATACTTGTAATTACTAGATGTAATTTCTTTGATTTTCACCAAGTTTTTTGCCAGCAACAATAACTTTGTGAAGTGACATAGTTTGTGGTTTGAGCATGACTTATTGGGTGAAACATTATAACACGAAGAAAGTAACACAGTTCAAGTGGGTTTTTATATTCAAAGCTACTTAACGTACATATAAATAGAAGCAGTAGTTACACTTGAAATCATATACAACACTGTAGTGTAAAAATAAACAAACATTTTATCATTACTTATGATTGTTCAATTATTTCAAATACTTTGACTAGGGGCAGCCGTTTTCCTTCTGTCTCCAAAAATTTTCTGTTTTCACTATCAATAACAGAATTATTTCATTTATAAGAACCACTGGCAACTTTTATGTACTTAAATTTTACATGATTTTTGTATAATTGTTCATGAGAGATCTGTATTGAGTAAGTTTAGTGTGTTATGCAAGCGTGTAAGTAAAAGTTTGAGACAATCAACCTTTGTTGTTCAACACCGAGAAAACTTGCCTGTTTGATAAAATAAATTTCACGAGTACTGAGTATGTTTTGGATACATATGCTGAAATCATTGTCTTTAACTTCTTTGAACAGGAAGCACAGCAGTTTATTGCTGGAAGGAAACTCACCTTAACAGTGAGAGAAGAAATACACAGGAACTACCTTTTCGTTCTATAGCGTGTCGTAAGAATCACACTGCAAACTTCAAGTGTGAAGTGTGTAGTAAACGTTTTACACGAAAATTCACTCTGCAGAGGCATAAGTTAATACATGGTCCAAACGCCCAAAGATTTCAATGTGATCTGTGTCATCGGAGTTTCAACTGGTATGACAATCTTCGGGCTCACGTTCAAGGTGTCCATCTACTTCCCTTTCCATTCAAAAAATGAAATTTGAAACTAAAATAATCAGTTGTATATACATATTATACACGTAGTCTTTCATAAGGTATTGTTTTTGTATATTTAAAAACTACTTACATACAGTGTAATTATTATTAGTTTTTTGTTGAAAAATAAAGAAGATTGCAAAACAAAACTACGAGTATGTAGACATTAATTGGTATTGCACTACAATGAGTCACCAATGAATCTTTCACAGGATTCTTTCCACGAGTCTATCACACATAGAAATTTCAAGTATCCAAAACAACAAATGAAATCTTTGACTTGCACCAGTGGCATAACTTCAAAAGATAGGCCCTCGGCATTTATTTCCCTATAAAACTATAAAATCACATATATATATGTCACAAGTCTAATAAATAAACAGGAAAAGTGTAAAATAATTTGAACAAAGAACATATGATTTAATCTTAGTGAGAGTTAACATTATATAAAAAAGATTTATATATAATGTAAATCAACTGAGACATTCTTTATCACACAAACAAAACATAATTTACATGTGTTGAGCATAAGAAAAGCATTTTTTTTAATGTGTAAACTTTTATTTTCATTTCACTTCGAAGAGGCCACTTGGCACATCTAGGATATCCCATTTTCTACTACCACCAATCCCCAACACTGCATATTAAACCCCTTTTCTGATATCCAACCTTGATGTGTAAAAATTAGTTTACTCATAAACTCCCCCAATGTGGCAGTGTCTGTCACACCTGAAGGCAAACTATTTCATAGGCTGACCACCCTACTGGGAAAGTAATGCTGATTTAACAGTTTTTTAGATCTATATTTGTGCCCTTTAATTTTAATACCTTTTGTCTTGGTGCAGATGTTCTTTAGTTAACTGATGCTCCTGTAAAGAGAAATTGAAAAGTTGTCAACTAATATCAATTTTTTTGTTTTAGGCAAAGGTTTTGTGGTCATTATAAAGGTCTATATTGTGATTATATTTATGTATAATTTCTCTCAGATTGCTACGAGGTAGGGTTCATCTCCAGTGTGTGTGTGTATATATAGATAGAATACAGAAAACTTCATCAAGATTTATGGATTTCAAACCTCTAACAAGCTTTAATATCATTTACCAACAAGATCTTCTCATCTCAAGCAAAAACATCAAAGCTATCTTCATGACATAACCCTTCCAAACCTGAAATCATGATGAAAGCTCTTCTCTGAATCCTCTCCAGCAACTAAACTTTCTTAATAAAGTAGCCATAGTTTTCAAGTGAAATAAGACAGTAACAGTCTTAAAAAGGTTATCATATGAGGGAAACATTTTTTGCAAAATAATCATATATTTGTTTACTGAATTTTGAGTTGCAAAAGTATATTTATATATTTATCTATCTACTGCATTGTGTTGTCCTGATTTTTGAGTTTCATATTTTTAAGTGAAAAAGGTAGAGAGAAATTTGTTGATAACAATTTCATGAATAGATCATGATGTTTTTCTGTTTACATAAAATACTCCCTTTCAAGAGACCGATGTGCTTGGCTATTTTAGACTCAGGAAAAGAATTTTGTTATCACAGAAGATTTTTACTGTCCCTGTGTGGCAAGAATAGGTTTTCCTCGTATCTAAGGCAACAAAATAACTCCCAGAGATCCTCATACTTGCTAAGCATATTATTAAAAAAAGATAATTACCCTTGTGATGAATTTGTTAATTGGTTATTGAACAAAGTATATCTAAATATCCCCCCAACAAGACACAAAATATGTATGACTAGTTTTGTATTAAAGCTAGGCTCTGTTTATGGTGCTACAGTATCGTGCTACATGTGTAATGTAGCAACTAACTTAGCATGACATTTTTGGCAGCAAAGATCAGAAATGCGTAAAGGGCAATAACTTAACTAGATGCTAATTAAGACAACAACTTTTCCAAAAGTGACAGTTGGCAACAAACTAAGTGCACTTTTAACATACTAACTTGCCTTTTTCTATCTCAAGGTAGAGAAAATGTTACCTCACTTCAGGAAAAAACCGTTACTTTGCTGCTGGTCTTTGTGGTATTCCTGAAAAATAGTTACGCATGCAGGTAAGTCACAGCTGCAATGATATGCTTGGGGTGAGTAGCAGAAATTAAAAGACCAAGGACAAAATTAATGTTGTGCTGACATACAAGTTAAAAAGGGGAACTAAAACACGTACTTAGTGACACAGGTTAAACATAAAAGATACGTTATTCAGTCCCGGGCACTTAAAAAATGAAATGTATATAAAGTCCAACTCCGGACTTGCTGAATTCAGTGAAATCTGAAGCAACCCTGAAACAGACGACAATGAGTTTCATCAAAATAAAGAAGGGTCACTTTTTTGGTTTCCACCAATCACATTAAACAACCTCTCACACTAACAAAGAAAAATGGTTAATTTTCAAGTTGAAGAGGCCAACTAATCCATAAGTACACAAAATAATTTATAATTGACCAGTATACAGAAAGTGCCACAATTCAAAGCACTTGCTTAAAGCAGTCAAGATTGGTCTTTAGCAGACAACTAAATACTGTAAATATCAAACTGAAGTTTCAATATAATAGAACTACTTATAGAAGAGTGGGCCTAATATCTAAGTACTATTAAATCCTGCTTAAATATGTCAAGTTCCTACATTCACAAGATTTTGAAATGTTTTTAAAAAGCTAAATATCGCATAGAAAAGTGTACTTGATTATAAACTACATATTTTAAATGTACTTTTAACAAATTAATGCTTTACTCTTTTCACATTAAATATATGTATTTATATTACATGCTATCTAATGTTTCAGTGGAAAGTTTGAAGGCTTATAATACCACAAATCAGGTTTTATTACTCGTGGTGGGCACAGCACAGATAGCCCATTGTGTAGCTTGTACTTAACAACCAACAAAGATATCAAAACATCAAGAAATGTAAGTGGCATACAAGTAGACTTGACAAGAAATTGAACTGTTCCATACTTGATATTTCTCAATGTAGTGCTTATTTATTATTTTACACATATACATATTCATATAAAACCCTTAGGACTTAGATTGTTAGGGTTAGTACAATTCTCTTAATTTAATCCATTGAAAGCAATTACTGTTATGAAAGTTTAGTATAATGCATGGTATGTATTCCATAACAAGATTTATACAGAACGTGCAGCTGTCTGACTGGTGTGTCAGTAATGTATTTGTGTTTGCATTAAATCTATCAGTACAGTTTTTTCAGTAAAGTAATGACCATATATCATTTGAATGTATCTAAATATTGTCACTTGTTAAACTAATTTACCTAATTTTAGGTACAGCATTACGTAAATGTAACTACTTATTTAATATTTTATTCAAATGATTATGAATAAAAAATAGATTAATAATTAACCAACATTTTAGTAATAAATATTTAAATATAATTACTTACTAAATTAGTCAATTTTAGCAAAAAATCAATTGATTGTTATTACATATTAAATTAATTTATTCCTTAATGATAAATCATTTGAATACAGTTTCCTATCAAATTAGTCTGATCTTATGATAATTTTTAAAAATAAGGTTACTTATTTATCTACATTTTAGTAATAACCCGTACTTTTTAATACCGCGGCATTGTAATATAATACTTTTTAGTGTTGCACTAATTTAATATAGTTATTGAATTAATTCTTTTTTATTATTGCATTATTTAAATATACTTGCTTAATAAATTAATCTATTTTTTTAAATAAATCATTTGTGTATGTAGTTATTTGCTATTTTAATTACTGTACTTTTTAGTATTGTATTATTTGAACATAAATTATTTAATATTTTAACAGCATTATTTGATTATAGATATTTGTTTATTTAATTAATTATCTTTTATACTTATCATTTTAATATGTTTACTCATTAAATTAATATATTCTTTAGTAGTATATTACTTGAATATAGTTACTGGTGAAATGAATTAGTTTCTATTTTTCATTACTGCATTGTTTTTGTTTAGTTACTTGTGAAACTAAAGCCGTTGGCTTTAAATTCTTCAGTTCACTTATCATAC